CATCTCATGCTCTTTGGATTGTAGCCACACTGGTGCTTGACACTAATTTCCACTATTTTCACAGAAGAAAGTCATGCAGGAACTGAGACTCGACAAGATAAAAATAGCTAAGGTTTCCTCACTGAAATTTCAAAATGTGAGGAATGGAGATAATACTTTGTCCCTTGGGAAAATTAGTACTGCTTTTGCCAGCACCAAAACCAACATCTTCTTCTATGGTCTAGTGAAAATGCTTCTCTGGGTCAAAATTACTTGATGAAAATGTTTATTTCCAAAGTCTTTCTATTTTAGCCTTCAGTGTGTTCACTTACAGAACAGCAGAGCCCTAAAAATTTTGCATACAGTGTTTAGTTTTACTTAGGCTACCATCCCTTCCCAGTCTCATAAAAAGGTTTACATACAATAGATCACAGAGACCATAAACTAAAGACAAAGACCTACACAATGCTGTTGAGATAATCCTTTGTGCTGTGCACATACCAGTGCTATATAATATTTGAGGAAAAGCACAATGAAGTATTTCAGACATCTGTTTTTAAGGTTGCAAAACACTACAATGTAAAAAGCAGACACTACAAAGCACTCACATTTCCACCAACTTCAAATGATCCTGGATATTCAGTGGAGAGCACCAAACTGAGTAACTGCTCTCCTAACTGACTACAATAGCATGATGTTAAATGAGACAGATTCTCTTGCTGACAGTATGTTGTACTGTCTTGATTTCTTTGCTCTCCATATGATGAAATAGGTGGTAAGTGGAGTTTGACAACCATGCATTTGCCTCATCATATTCACTGTTAATTCCTATTTGGTACTATATCAGATTTCAGTGCCTTGTTTCAAAGAGCACAGCATCTGCTTATTAGAATTTATGCCATTATCTCTACTCAAGTCAACAGACAGCAAAAATTCTAAATAAAATTGCTTGCTACAATTACAGCTCTGTGATTTCTTCCAATATATTAAATACTTTATCAAAAACCAATCCAGGGATAATGTCATAATGAAGCGGAAACAAAGCAGCTCTCAGGCAGCTGCTCAGCATTCCTCCTTCTGTCTTGTTTTCTTTTCCCTAAATAAAAGGAAACAAAGGTTCCTGTTTGCTCTCTAAACCTGCTTCCCATAGCACAGCATCCTCCATTGCAAGCCAAAAGTATAGGGCCATCAGCAACATAGCTGGGCTTTGGTGAAAGCAAATGCTTCACTAAAGTACCTTGTTCCTTTCAGTCAAGTAAAATAAACGTATTATATCACCTACATAACTTTATAATAGTCAGTCAAATTCTGTATCATCTCAAGTTGCTTATTCAAGAAGCCTTTGCAAAGTCCACATCTGCAGCTTCTGGAGAACACATTGCCATGAAGATGACTAGTATTTTTGGTCCAAAGAGGTCTAATTTTCCCTTAGTGAGGAGAACTCTAAGGCTCTTCAGCTCCAAGAGGCTTGCAGAGAGACTTAAAATGTTTGGGGTATTTTTTCTGCTATCGCTTTCTGTTGTGTTTTCTATGCTTTGGATCTGGAGTTTGTGCATCATGGCAAAGACTGCTGAAAAAGTACTCCTGGATTTTGTGAAGCCACTCCACCACGTACAAAGCAAAGATATTCTTCAGCTCCTGTGCAGTATATGGCTCTTTGGTGGGCTTAAAGCCAGAGCTCTGCAGAGGAATCTCACAGTACTCCAGATCCTGTTATGAAAATATTTGGGGGTTGTTGTTTGGTTTGGTTTTGTTTTGTTCTTCTTTTTTTTTTTTCTTAAGGGCTTCTAAAGTACATTCCTGAAAGAGGGTCTGGTTTATGTTTTCTGTACTCAGAAAGCATATAGGAAAAAGCATCAAAACCTAGCAAAATAAAGCAATACCCACTATATGCCCAATTAGATTAAAAAAAAAAAATCTATATTTTTTTTAGCTATCAAAGAAAACCTGCCAGTGTCTCTTTTTGTGCTATAATTTTTCAGTCAACAGCCATTAACAAGCTAGGTCATGGGAAGGTAAGGCCCTATCATGGGAAGGTAAGGCCCTACATACTGTGTTCCTTCAGCTGAGGATAATAGCATTTAACTACAGCCTAGGTTTTAATGCCTGAAACCTTGGCTTGATTGACTCTTGTTCTGGAGATTTAAGTATGAAGCTAATGTCTGGAATGAGCTTGGGTCATGGCAATACCCTGGGTAATTTGGTAGTGAATAAGAATGTGGTTTACAGCCTGCTCTCAGGGCTCATCTTCTGCAAAATTAAATGACTTGGGACTTTCTAAAAGACTTCAATATAAGTTTTGCTCTGAGAACATGCTTAATCAATGCATGTTCTGGTAACAGTACACCTGTATGGGGACAAATCTGCCTGCTGCCCTGTCCCCTATCTTTCCTCCCATATACTCCTGGTCAATAGCAGATTGGAGGCAATGGCAGTATAGAAAAGTTGTCTGAGGAAAGTTACCATTCACAAGACTCACTCAGTTTTGATGAAAACCTAAGAGTAATCCAGATGTCAGTTTAACACTGGGCTAGCCTGGAAAGGACGCAATGTCTTTATGACCAATTACGGTCAAAGAAGCTTTTGTTTTGATAACAGTGGGTTTGACGATACCTCTCTTCAGAAGGAGGATGTAATGTTTCCTATATGACAAACCTTCTTTATTGTTTCTTATTTTCCTGTGTTCTTTCTTTTCCAGGTCCTGTTTGCCTCTCAACTCTTTTCTTGGGTGATATCTCATTTTTGTGTCATTGCTTTTTGTCCTTAGAATAGCAGATCATTTATATTATGTGTTGGAAAAATGTTGGTGTTATGAATGTTCTGTCTGCCTCCTGTGCAAGTAGCATATGAATGAATTTACCAATCTGACAGAACTTAGACTAAAATGTAAAGGATTGTTTTAAACAATCAACTCAAGTGAAAACAATCTATTAAAGAAACCTTAGATGTATGGCACTAGGCTTTCTCTTTCTCAGTATATCTAGCTCTCCATATGGTTCATCATGAATATTCATTTATATGCCACACAGGGCATTTGTATCAAGATTTTTCTTTGTTCTCCTCTAGGTATTTTAATATTCATATAGGCTATATCTACCCAGAGTAAAGACAGATGAGAGTGGTCACTTACATATTCTGGACGGGGAAACCCCCTCCTCCCCAACTCCTGCCAGCTGGAGCTACCTTTGCTGTGGCCAGAGGAGGTGCTGCAGTTCCATTGTAGCTGCTGAACAATCTCTACCAGCAAGGAGTTAAAGGAGTTACCTACTAAGAGTGTCATGACAAAGAGCAGGTTGCGCCTAGCAGCCAAAATGTGTTTAGCTATCAAAGCATGTCTCTGCAGTTCTGCCTCTGCAGGGTACAGTCCAGGTACACAGATACTTCACAGGCAATGGAAGAAAATCCGCATGAAGCAAGGATGCCTTTCAAAGTTCATGTGTCTTTTCCTTGAAAAAGAGCTTGTTTTTTCTCTTCATTACAAGCTCCTCAAAACAGATAACCTTTTCCCACGTGCAAGCATTGGAGCAGACACAGATGTTAGATGCAACAGAAATGAGGAGGACTGCACAGCCCCATGGATGCAACCACACCATGGCACAGTTATGTATGCCATCCAGCCAGTGCTTATGGATAGATCTCTTTTGAAACTTCTGATGTTATTCAATCTCTGTGCAATTGCACTTGGAACAATGTGATCTTGACTGAATGGGGATCCTTGTCTCTACACAGCTGAAATCACTAATTCTTTTGGAGGCAAATATGGATATGTCAGTAAAAAGATTGGTTTGTAAAGCAGTAAAGGTGAATATAAACCTCTGACAGTAATCATTCTGCATGAAGCAGACTCACATGGGTGGGAGTTGTTAGCAGTTCATTTCTGTTTGATAACCTGAATTAGTCAAATGAAGCGGCAGTAAGGGGTTTTGGCCCTCAGGCACCACTTCTTACCACTGCCTCGGAGCCCTGTTTGACTATCTTCCCAGCATGGCCAGACTTTGACATGGCATGCTCTCCCTTTTGACTGGCAACTTTTTCCAGATGTTTCCACTGCAACTGTCACAGCCCAGAATGTTGGGCAGCATGGGTAGTACATGAGATTCAGGCATGTTTGTACCTATGTGGCATCCTTTTTTTATTTCTTTTATTGAATACTTCTATATGAAGAACATATTTGTAGGAATCAATTTTCATTTCTGAATAATTACATATATAAAAATGAACTGAGTAATTGAATTCCAATGAACAATTCAAGCATCTGTAATATTTGAATCTATAATCTGCCAGAGTGTTATATGATCTTATTTCCACTTGATTCCTGAGAGGAAGTGCCTTACAAGCACTGGTACATAAAGTTGTCTCTAAACACAGACACCATCCATTGTAAATATTGAATATCCAATCATGAATTACAGCACCTGTTTTAAGTGATCAGCTACTAAAGGGTGTATACAAAAAAAGCGGACGGAAATAGGGGTTTCTTTCCAGGAAGATTATTTCCTGCTGTTGAATTTCTACATCTCATTAAAATGCCGAATTCAGTCTTTGTTCTTGCAACATCTATTGTGCATATAGCTGAAAACTGAAACAAAGATCTTAGCATGGAATTTCAGTTACAACACCAAACATTTCAACCTCGTTTTGAATGCACAATGATTTAAAGCCTTGGCTATCTGTATACATGTGATATACTACAAAACAGGGCCCACAAACCTTTGTTCACTTTCTCAGTGATTATTTCATCAATCTTGTCTACTATTACAATTGGGTTTAGTATTCCTGATAATTTGTAAAATGTCACTTTTATTATATATGCCCATATTCACCTGCAAAAAATATATTCAGTGGATCCTCTTATGAAAAATTCCTTCTAATCAGGATAGTATCTTAAGAGTTAAGTGACATATACTGAATAATGAAGAGTCAGCAATTAGTGGTAAAATAAGTGCATTACTAAAAATAAATAGAATACAGAAGAAAGTAAAAATAGAATATAACAGAGAAGGGGGGGGGAACTCACAGACCTTTTTGGAATGATTTACATGCAGGAAAACAGGGAAAAATTCACAGTGGATCTGTTTCTCAAGGAGTTTGGTCCAAGTCTCACTGGCAAGAGTGAAGAGGGAGACTTCACAAATATGAAGCAGGAGAAATACATTAAAAAAAAATGGAGTGAGGGGAAGGAGTTCATGCCACTTTTTCCTCTTGGCCTTTATACTCTACACACATTTTCCTTACCCTTACTCATACTCGTTTGTCTGGGGAAAATGCTGGGATTGGGAAGTGATCCATGAGAATGAAGCAGCTTGAAAAGCATTATATTAGTCTGTGGAATAAGTAATACTTCAACCAAATGAAGTAATGGAAACCACTTCACCCAAGTCATTTAAAATTGAACTGAATAAGGCACTGGAGATTATGCTGAAGGGAACAATTCTGCATTGGCAGGAGTATGGACAAGATGACTTAATAGATCTAGTGTCCATGTGCCAAATCCTGAGATCCGGATCCAGTTTTTATTACTCTATCGTTACTAAAGTTGAACTTCCATTCACTTTATTGGAAGCTCACCATGACACAAGGAAAAAATAACCAAGAGTTTCAGGATTTATGCATAAAGCCACAAATAAAAACTACTTCTGTACCAATTAAAAAATTAGCTTACTACATATTAGTTATAAAGTCTGAGTGTAAAAATAATACTATAACGTATATAGAGCACTCCTTGAATTATTCCTAGCAGCCTGCTCAGAAAAGTTACACAGCGTTTATCTAGTTTAATTGGTTAGACCTCGCCAGAGCCAGTGAAAACCCTGCTGCTCACTTGAAGTAAGTCTCTGTTTATGTTATGGTGTTCCTGAAAATATCTGTGAACAAAACATTGTAATGAAAATTAAAGTTTAAGTATGCTTTACCATTTAAGCATGGGAGCAGTATTAGAAGCTTATATTTAACCCCACATAATTTAAATATAAGCAACAGTATTTTTTCCTTTTCTTCATTAAATATCAGTGGGGCATTTCAATGTAAATGGCAGAAGGTTCAGGCTAAACGGAGTCTGTTTTCCTTGGTGTATAAATGTATATAAGGAAATCAAGGCTCTTTAGAAATTGTCCTAAATTCTGATTTGTTTTAGTTTTAAAACAAGATGGAGCTAATTAAACCAAAATTAGTTCAGAAATGCTATCAAGAGATTTAAAATGAGAGATTTGAGGGTGACCTGAGGACAGAGAAAAGCATGCCTTTGCATGTGCACAAGTGTTGGTTTAGATGCAGTTAAATAGTTCCAATTTTCACTCTATTTCATTCATACCAACACTTGTTGCCTGCTAAGGTTATTCCTGATAAGCAAACACTGATTCAGTTCCTCTGGCACACTATAGAATGATCATACACAGAGAAATCAAAACCATATTATAGAATCATAGAATAGTTTGTGTTGGGAGGGACCTTCAAAGGTCACCTAGTCCAACCCCCTTGCAATGAGCACAGGCATCTTCAACTAAATCAGTTTGCTCAGAACTGCATCCAGCCTGGCCTTGAATGTCTCCAGTCAGAAAGATAGCTGATGTAGCAAATTCTTTATTTTGCAATATAGAGAAATATACATTAGTTATACATTAGTTAAAACTTCCCAATAGGGTAGGGGATTGGGAACTGTAGGAGTTCCAGTATTTAAACCGTGGCTACAAAGAAGACTTACAAGGAGTCACCTAATGGGTACAAGTTGCTCCTGGGGAGATTCTGATTGGACACAAGAGGAAAATTTTTCACAATGAGGACAATCAGCCATTGGAATAATCTCTCCAGGGAAGTGATGGACCCCCAAACAATGGACATTTTCGAGATTTGGCTGGAAAGGGTGCTGGGACATCTAATCTAGGTCACACTTTGCCTAGAAAAGTTGGATCAGATGATCTTTGAAGTAACTTCCAATGTGGTATTCTACGGTTTATTATATGAACTATAGGACAGTAGAATTTCTTTCCTTCTAATAAAAAAGCTACATTAAAAGTCAGTTGGGGTCTTATTAATGATTTTTATACTATATTGAAAATTCATCTGAGAAATTTTCTAAAATTCGTCTTATTTAGGAATTCTTATCTGCTCTTATAATGAGCTCTAGTCTGCATCAAGGGATGAGATTTTCTCGTATCTTTCTAGAGTAAGGTTATTGCCCAACACTATAAGGCTACAAAAAGTTACGTGTATTCCCAAAATCAGAAGAAAGAAAATGTAAATTGATAATTTCTTTTTGGTTTTGCTTTTGGGCCAGGTTTGGGGGTTTTATTGGTTGTTAGTTTGTTTTTTCTGCTTTGGTTTGGTTTGACTTTTGGGTGGTTCTTTTTCTAGCCCTGGCTCTTCCTTTGCATATCTCTGCAAGTGAGGACACATTTCATAGCTTCTTCCTCCATGGTTCTACATGTCCACCTGGCAAGGGCACAGCATTACAGATGCAACACAGAAAGAGGGGCAATGCCTTCTCCTTCTGTGTTCCAAGCTCAGTAAAAGACAATCCCTAGCTTCAACTAAGCCTCAACTAAGCTAAGTCCACCCACATATGGGACACAGTTTCCCCCTTTCACTGGCACAAGACCATTTGTGCCAGGTACTTGCTGGACACACTGAAAAACTGTCACATGCCAAGGACAAAAAGGTATTGAAGAAGCTATGGGAAAATACAAGTGGTCTGACCCTACTGCTCTGACAGAACAAGCATCAGGCAGCTAACAGTGATTGTACAATTTTAGAGGAGCCAAGGACTGCTTTAATTTGCACCACCTGTCTAAGCAGCTGTGGTTGACCATGGGCATGGGGAACAAGGACAGGAAATGCATAGAGATAGATATTGTTAATATTCTATTATTGAATTCATACTTTACAAAGACTGAAGCATGTATTAGGTCTCCCCAAAAGCAAGAGAAAAAGAGTCACTGCTGCCTAGAGAGCTTACTGTCTATACAATGACCAGAATTGCTGCATTCCTCCCCAGCTTCAGCTGTATTCTGACGATGCACCTGATTGATTGCTTGGACCATCATTATTTTTAAAGCAAGTCAAATGCCTTTCTGCTTCTTTCAGTATGGAAGGCATCACTTCCACAGTATGCTTCATCTGGAACTGTATTTAAGTAAGTTCAAGAGAGCATATTCTATATAGGCAATACAAAATCATGTGTGATTTTTTTGTTGTTGTTTCAATAGACAGGGTTTGAGTAATGTCAGGGTTTATGGCTTTTATTTTATTTGTAGGGTCTACTTTTTAACGGAAGCAGGAAGCAGTCCTTGGACACAGTAAGTCACGATATATAAATAGCTCTACTGAGAGTATAACAAAGGCTCTTTGTGGTTTTTGCCAGCATAGCCAATCGTACATGCAACTTAGTAACATAAAAATACCTCATCCCTACTTATGACACCCCTACCTTATTAAAAAATATTAAGACATCCATTCAGAATGTCTATCAAAAGCACATTACTTTCATACAGAAGTTGCAATTATTTTCTTCAATAACTGTAGAGAAATTCAAGAAATTTGCTGTTGTCTGATTACTAAATAGAACATACAGATAATTCATCTTGAATTAGAATATATTTGTGGAAATATGCTTCTCCATATGGTTTCATATTCACTTCTGCAAGGTGAATACAGTGACAGGATTTTTTCAAATTAGACTATACATTTTTTTGTTAAATCAAAACCAGTATATTTCCTGCATAGCAAGCATTCTGGACCTCATTTTAAGCCATTTGAAGGAGGTCTGAAGTTTATTGGATTTTAAATATATCCTTTTCTTCATTGAGGGTCTTTTAAAGGATAGTTTAATCTGTCTAATTTACATTCAGGAATTTCATTTTACATGCCAGGCTCTGGGACTGTCAAATCCTTCAGCTTTTCCTTCTTATCAAACATAATAAAGTGATCATATACAACCAGTAAGACGATTTTTTTTTTTATTTTTATCCAAATGCCATTTTTAAATCCAGTTTAGGTCCTATAGGTTGCCAATTTTCTACAGTTCAGAAGTTAGATGTGTTTTCCAAAGAAAGATCATCAGTAGTAAGTATAAACATATGTCAGTCCATTAACTCTTAAAAAAAATACCCAGCACATCAGACCTCATTCCCTGCTACATTTTCAAATAATACAGTAGGTCCTACTTGAGACTTTGTAAGGTCCCAATACAAAGGCTCCCCAAAACTGTGGAAATCTTTTGTTTTCCCAGTGGGGTTTGTACTTAGGCAAACTCCAATTTTATTGAGTGGGCTTCATCACGTCTTGAGGTTTGGGACAGATAAGGGCCCCATGCAATCTATTCTAGCCACTGGTGAGAATAGCTTCCAGTGAAATATTCTCCAGCTGCTCCGTAACTTAAAAGAGTTATTATGTCCTACTCACAACCAGAGACAGAAGTTAAATTTGCCTATTGTCAGCCAATCATCCCCTCTTCTCCCTCTTTCCCACAAATGTAATACTCCATTTTTACCCTTCTAAGAAAAGAAGATTTTCCCCATTTGGTTAAAATCAATACAGCTTCTATACAAGATGTTGATTTGCATTTCTTACTCACCAATATTTTTTCTTCAGTGTTATGAGAGAGCTTAGGAAGTATTTTTTTCTCCCTGTACTTTGAAAAAGAAAGGTTCTTTTATTTCCAGCTTTAGGAGCAACCAAATTTAAATCCATGCTAATCCCTAAAGTCAAGTAAATTCTAACTCCTTAGAAGTAATACTAATGTTACCAATTACTTTCTTCCTCTGCTTAGCATGATGCAAATTGATACAGAGCAACGACAGCAGGTTTGATTTCCCTGTGCAAATGAATTAGATGGTACACCAAAACTCAGTAATATACTCAACTTGGGTTATGTGCTAAGTATCTTATTCCTTGTATACAGAGAATATTTTAAGATTACTAAAGTATATTTCTTAGGCTTTGTGAAAAACTGAGTCTGTCTTTAGAGGAGCTTTGTACTGTAAATGGGGATAGATGGGGGATTCTGCCAAATCTAGTACACAACTCTCATTAACATAAGCCAGGTGAAGTTTCACTATTAGCTAGAATCAAATAAAAGTTATGAGGTCAAATTTCTTGTCTCATGTACGCAAATGTGTTTGGACATACAAAAGGAGAACAATTCCTCCTTTCCTCAGTCTTCAAATAGAAGGCAAAAGAGATTGAGGACTGACCTATTGTTGTTTCTTCAAGCAATTGCTACATCATTATGTCAATTTTTAAGATTTTTTTCCCATATATTTCTCTGGAGACAGAAAGACATACAGTATCCATTTGTTCATGAGCCTAGTTGATTCTGTGTCTTAAGATGATAATGAAAAATCACTTAGAAGTCTATACTACTTACTTTAATTCAGGGGTAGCTAATAAAAACATATATATGCACTTCTCAGCACCCTCTCACAAGAATGGAGCACAATTTTCAGTCTGCTTTGAAAGCAAAATGTGGATAATAACTCAGAGGGCTAAGCCTGTCCCACTAGTATGGCTCTATGTTAGAGGCACCTCATAGCAGCCTTTTCCCTTGGGCAACTAAGAAAAGGGAGCAGGATTCAAAATGTGTTCCTGAGTCCTTCCATGAGCAATTAATCTTCTCCGCCTTGAGCAAGTCAGCACGCTGATCATCATGTTAGCTCATTTGTATCAACTGGTCGGTATGGTTGTACACTGAAACCTTTGCTCACTTCCTTTTGCTGTAAGCCAACAAAGAAACAAAGAAAAGTAGGCACCCAGGTCATACCTCCTATTGCCTGGCTTGCACAGAGGCAGAGAAAGCCTCAGTATTTTTCCATCTCTGGGTCTATCCCAGTGTAAAGACTGTTAGGATAGCGTAGCATCAAACTCCCTTCAGAGGCTATGGGCCAATATATATCAAAGGTATCGCAGTAAGTAAAAGCTCAGGCTAGACTCTCAATCAGTGGTATGGAATCCTCAGCAAACATACAGGGCTAGAGAGAAAGTGCTTCCCAAATATATGACCTGGGATTTTTGTATTACACCTCCTGAGTATAAAAGTGTTTGACAAGATTTATAAAACTGAATACTTCAGAAAAAGAGAACATATAGCTTTAATAGCATCTGGTTAACAGTCAGGTCAGAGAGACATGAAGTCTTGCTTGAGATCACAAGGTAGGTAATATCCATAGTTCCTGATTTTCTTTCCAGCAGCTATCAGTTAGAGAGTCTCTATTATCTCTGTCAAAACAGAAAGCAAATATAAAAAGAATCACTCCCATATCCCACAATATCCTCACTTCCACCAGCAACTATAAGATTCATTTTACATTCACACTTGACTTATTGTTATGCAGCCAATAAAAAACAAAATATGAAGCCATACTGAGGAGCAGCTTTAATTTGGTAGCATTTCTGAAGCATTTGGGGAAATCTGCTGTCTATGAATGCTGCATAAATTCTGCTGTTGTTTTTTACAGTACTGCAAAAGGAGAACTTCCAAGTGTCGCTCACAGCAGGAAATGCCTTCCGCCTATTTCTACACACAACCAATAATTCTTAAGTTAATATCTGGTGGGGCCCCCCAAGCATTTAAAAATAGTATGCTTTCTCATAAGGACTGCATAACCTACAAAAATTGCTAGCATGAGTTGTGCCATATCATACAGATGTGTTCTCACGTCAGTTTTATTTACTACAGAATCATAGAATCATAGAATAGTTAGGGTTAGAAAGGACCTAGTTCCACCCCCCCCACACCATGGGCAGGGACACCTCACACTAAACCATGTCACCCAAGGCTCTCTCCAGCCCAGCCTGGAAAACCGCCAGGGATGGAGCATTCACAACTTCCTTGGGCAACCCATTCCAGTGCCTCACCACCCTCACAGTAAAGAACTTCCTCCTTATATCCAATCAAAACTTCTTCTGTTTGAGTTTGAACCCATTATCCCTTGTCCTATCACTACAATCCCTAATGAAGAGTCCCTCCCCAGCATCCTTACGGGCCCCCTTCAGATACTGTATCAGTGACGCAAGTTGTGATTAGAAAAAAGTTAGCACAGTGGTTAAAATAGGTGTTCTTTTTTCTTTTTATGCCTTTTTCCTCTTTCTTTGCAGAAGAAAAAAAAATAATCCTACCCAGATCCCTGCTTTCCTATTCCTACTCATCCTTCCTCAGATCCCTTCATCATAAAGTGTTGACCATATTCATCAAAGTTCAGAATACAAGAATGGGATTTTCCATTCCACTGCATTATCACTTACCACTGCATTAAACTTGCTTCCCTTTCATAAGAAAGTTTAATTCTACCTATTTACCATATTATTTATTATATGACACCAGACTTGTATTTACAAACTTTTATATGCCATAAGACTAGAAGAGCTGCTTATACAGCATCAGACCATAAGTCCACCCATTCTGTTAACAGTACCTAATAAGTGATATCTATGAAGAAATATGAAAAACTAAGGCATGTGTAGCATGTTTATATATTCAAAGTGATATCACAATGCTCACAGATGATAATGAAAGATGCACTGATCATCTCATTTTCATCTTGCCAATCAGGTTTTACCCCTTTCAAGCTGGACTATTTCTATTACTCATATAGCTAAAATTTGAGGTAAGTTAATAGCTGTGACAATTTATGCTAGCTGAGTTCTAAACTTCTAGCTACATCTCATTTAAGATTTAAAAATGCAAATCCTACCAAATAAATCTATTTGATATTACAAAAAGTGGATTAGGAAACTAAATTTGACAATTTCTAAAGTGTTTGGGTGGGTGTTTTTAGGGACAGATGCATCCTGTAAGATACTTTTATTTATTGAAAAAGAAAGCAATAAAAACATTTTTTCAACGAACTTTTTAAAGTTCACAGAAATAGCAACACAAAGCCCACAGAGTAAAAGATAGAGCATGCATCTTATTGTGGTGTACACCAGAGTTACTTGGATGATTATGTGAAAAATGAATTCTCAAACTTCTGTCCTGCTCATTTTAATATCAGCTTTGGGATTATGCATTTCAGAAGCAGACAATATGCACTCAGTTAGAGAAAGATTAACTGAAGTCTTCTTTATGAAAAACTGGGGAGAAGTAGGAACCTTAAGTTCACTGCTATGTCTGTTTTGACTGTGCTGACCCTATTTGTGTTTCACAGCTGATGCTGAGAGCCTTGCTCTGATTTGAAAAGTCAGAAATTTCGGAAGCTATTTGTCATGGACTGCATTCCCTTTTCTGGCTATTTGATCATAATAATTTTTAAATGTTCACCAAATAGACCTGTGTTTAAATTTTTCTAATTCCATTCTTTAGAAAAGGAAAAGTCATCTTCTTAGTTCATACAGCTAAAACAGTCAAGTCAAAATACAGAAGTACAATTTCTCAGTATGTCTGCTCTATCCTTATTTGTTCCGTTTTTTTAGTGACTGAGTATTTGGTTCAGCTCAGGCAGCCACTCCCAGTTCCTGAGCCTCAGCCAGGTCTCTCAGGCCCATTCACAATTCCAGCACTAACTTTCCATAATTATTTTATTTCCTTAATCTTCCCAATGGTTGGTTTAGCCCCAGATGGGCCTCATTCCTCTCCAAGTTCAATAAGACAGTCTCTTACTCCCTCTGCTCTCCTGTCTCCTCCAATTTTGATTTTTGCTGGCAGCCTCACAGTATCTCCTCTTCTCTTTTACACACACAAACACACATGTGCATGCACACACAATAGCATGGGAAATACCACAACCATTTGGAGAGAAACAATAGCAAATTGTAATTTTCCACACTTAGAAAAGAAGGGAATGAATCAAAGGGTGACCCAAAAAAAGCATGTGAGGGAAAAAGAGGACCATAAAACTTTAAGAAAATTGAAGGAAAAATGGAAGAGTTTAAATACAGCATTAGAAGAATGGTGGAAAAAATCTTACATATATATAAGGATAAGAAAAAAATCTAAAATATGGTGGAGATGAACAGAAAATGTAAAACCAGAAAAAAACTTCAGCCCCAAATAAGCCAAAGCTCAGTGTAGCTACTGCACTTTCTATCTATCTGCCCAGTATCTATCTCTAGAAGTGTTTAAAAAGATGCAAAACACCCCAACCAGTTTCATCTTACTGCCTCAGTCTTAGTTTATCTCAAAGTAATACCAAAGCTTTAAATGACAACTACTGGAGCATTCCCATGGCTTTTTCCACAACATGTTAACCTGGAGTGCAGTACATATCATTATGCAAGTGTAATGCTGCATGCTACATCCTTGTGTAGCATCTAACTGTACTCTAGAGGCTTAAGTCTGTCGGCTGCACCTTAATGAACTCTAAATACATGGCTGATTTAAAGCTATGGCTATGTCTAACCTGTGGAATCCAGGCATGCTTCCTACAGGAGCGTGTGTGCGTGTGTGTGCGTGCCCCAGCTGCACCCTGGCTCCATGCTAACTCCCTTCCACCCTCCACCCCCACGCCCGGTTTCCGGCCCAGCCAGGTCCCCCCTGGATGATCAGGGACATGGCTATGGCACACACCCCACAGTTCAGACGGAGCCTCTGGGAGTCATTGAGTGCTATGCTTGCAGCAGCCTGAAGCAGAGCTCTGAACTCCAGGTAATTACTTTGTGAGCTGAGCCTTGTATGCATATTGTCTGCTGATAGTTTTGCTGTGAAAAAAGAGTATCTTTTCTCACTCTCAAAAGCTGAAATAAATTCAGTTCATTTTTTAAAAAAATTACTTTAGCAGCTTGTGCCACAATTAGTCAAAGGAATATAAGCATACAGCAGGGCCAGTCTGGTAACAAAGACATGCTGGTTTGGTAAAAGCAGCCAGAGCATTCGCATAGCCACATCGCCATGTACTGCACTGAAGTGTATTCCTAGGTGTCAGTAGTTCATGCTTGGCCATCTGTATTTTGTCAACAATAGCAATTCACTTTTTAATGAATGTTTAAAGTCTCAGTTCCCCCAGGAGTAACAGCTATAGAGAGCATCAGCTATTGCTGAAAGAACAGGGATTCTAGGAATAAACAGAATGTTGTGGAATGGCAAACTGGGAACCAGTGACCTCATTATTCTGGAAAATGTCTCCTTTTGAACCACAAGGAACTCTGACAATTGTAAAGGTTTAGTATTGAACAATGGAGTTTTGCAGAGATAGAGTGAAAGCAAAATTGAGCCCCCTGTGTACTTATGGCAGTTCTTTATTATGTGCCATATATTATCATGTTGTGCTGTGTTTTGCTTTATCGTTGTTGCATCTTTATTAAAGGTGGGCCAGAAATAAAACACAGATGTAAACATACCTGCACTTCCAAAGCACTTGGCTTTAGGTAAGAACGTGGCAGCTGAAAGCCATCCTCAGCACATTTTGCTCTAGAAGGTTTATATTCTTCCTTTAAAACAAAAAACAAGGAAAACATGTAAAATAGCAAATAAAATTTTACTGTTGTAAAATAATTATGTTTTGTGTTATTTGCTGTAGTTTAAAGGAATCTGGTCATGCAGGTATAGGAAATGACCGACTTTACAGAGAAACGCAGGAGGATAGCAATTTTTCTCTCTAGTGTGCAGAATACTAATACAGGACACATTCTTGTCTTAAAGTCAAGGGATTTCCTTTGTTTAGGCTTATTAGGCATATTACAGACTGGTGTCTTGCAGGCAGACACTGAGGTCTGCAGTGGATCCTTGAGTTGTAGGACACAAAGCCATATAAAGCAAGAGAAGTCATTATTCCAGTGACAATGAAGGAGAAAAAATATCCACTGCTGACAGGCCTACTCACTCACAAGTCCACTGGTGTCAACATACATAGCAGTAGAGATAGAATAGGTTAGGAAAGAGCTTTTTATGTCTGGATAAAAGGGAAGTGTAAGAGCTAAAGGGATGCAAAATACTGTATGTCAATATTTGCCCTACTGAGGAACAGCAGACACATACTGGAACTGAAGGATACCATATATAAAGACGTAAGTAACCACATGTATTATTTCAGCCCTGTGCCCCAGCTGTAAAACATTATTTGAAGTTATAAGGTTATAATAGTTGCACAGCTGTGGGAAGGTGAGGGTCATCCATTTTACATACACATTCAAATTAAGAATGCAGGGCTGCTGGCACAGAGCAACAGCAATGATATGGCCTCAAAGGTAGGAACGTACAGAAAGACAGTCAAAAGTCTCTTTTCATTTTCTCTTTGGAGGTGGATGTCAGATTTTTCATTCCTCTCTTGGTTATGTATGAGTAGATCTGAAGATGGAAAATGATGACCAACCTAGGCATTTGAAGTACAGATTCACAGAAAATTCAGAAACCCAAGTAAAAAAAAAGTATCATGCAAAAAGGCCTGATTTACACCTAAATCAGGTGGTGCCTAAATGCCCTAAGTGCTTTCTTTTTCAATTTTCAAATGTGTTTCTTGAAACACACATCTGTTCATAGTAGAACTGCCCTGGCTACACTTTCCTTAAGCCCCATCTGGATTCAGAAACTAGATGTTTCCGCATATGAATGTGCCTGCACAGCAATACACAGGTCACATGTACCTCAACTGGCTCTTAATGAACTAGTCTGGGTACCAGAAGCTCATAATTTATCACTCCCCACTGAGTAATTTATCCTGTTATGATATGTCTTCATGACCTTCCACTCACCATGTCAAAGAAAAACAGAATTGCTGAGGTTGGAAGGGGCCTCTGAAGATCATCTGCTATGAACCCCTGCTCTAAGCAAGGTCAGCTAGAGCAGGTTGCTCAGGATCATGTTCAGCTGCATTTCTAAATATCGCCAGGTATACAGACTCCACAAACAGGGCATCTTGTTCTGCTGCTTGACTACCGTGACCACAGCGAAAGTGGTTTTGCTCATGTTTAAATGGAATTTCTTGTTTCACTGTATTGATTGCCCCTTGTGCTGCTGAGACTCGGGCTCAGCAAGCTTAAGGTTCTGCTCTAGGCACACCTCCCAGCCCTTTGTCTGCAGTGAGAACACTGAGCCTTTTCTGTAGCTGCAGCTCTGCAAACAGAGAAGGAATCATATGCCAGAAGTCAGAAGCTAGCAGCCCTCAGTAACAGGTGAGGTCTCCAATACCGGGGGTTCTGCCTTCCCCTCACTTTGTCCAGGTGGAATTCAGGCTCTTGCAGCTACAAGGTCTTAGATAATATCAAACTTCTTTTCTTGTCTGTGATGCTATGTAGCCTGTAGACCTCCTCCTGCAGCTCTTTTACTTGGAGACACAGATCCTGTATTAGTACACAGATTTTGCAGACCAGGACACCATCCTCCCCCAGCCCATGTCACATGTCACAGTTTAACCTGGCAGGCAGCTAAACATGTTCACCCACATGTTCTTCAGTGAGATGGGGGAGACCATTGGGAAAAAAAGTAAAATTCATAGCATGAGTTTAATAGGACATAAAGAGGGGAGAGAAGTAAGGGGGGGAGGAGAGGTGAGAATTAGTAGTAGCAGCAGTAGTTAGTAATTATAATAAATAATAGAACAACAACCAAAATTATAGAAGAATTAGAATATACAAAACAAGTGATGCACAATGCAATTGCTTACTACCCACTGATCAATTTCCAGACAGCTCCTGAGCAGCAGCCCCTGGCCAGCTTTCCCCCTAGTTTATATGCTGAGCATGACATCATATGGTATGGAATATTCCTTTCACCAGTTTGGGTCAGCTGTCCTGTCTCCTCCCAGCTTGTTGTGCCCTCCAGCCTAAACACTTGTGGGGTGATGTGAGAAGCTGAAAAGTCCTTGCCTTAGTGTAAACACGGCTTAGCAATAACTAAAACATCAGTGTGTTATCAACATTACTCTCATCCTAATACCAAAACAGCACTATACCAGCTACCAGGAGGAAAGCTAACTCTATTCCAAACAAAACCAGGGCACCTCAGTGAGGCATCCCTCCACTAACAGACCTGCAGAGCTGCGCAGTTGCTTTCGTTGCTGTCCTGTGACAGGTCACCACCACTGCTGAGCATGTGTACACCATCCTCAACAGAGTTTCTGCCCTTCTTCTGTGCACCCTTCTGTGCACTGCAGAAAGTGCCACAGACTGGTGCATCTCCTGGTTGCCTCTGTTCACTGCACTCTGTCACACATCTGTGTCACAAACATACACTTGAATGTCCTGAGGGACATAACCCAGCTGGTTCTCTTAGCACAAGACCAGCAAGACCTGTCTCTAAAAATACAGTAACAGATGCTGTCTTCAGCAATGCCAACTGAAACACTGGAGAAGTAATTTTTTTCCCTAGGATCTGAGATAATTTGCTGCATATTGCTACAGTTCTAAGCATGTTTTAAAAGCACAAATTGCTATCTTTTATTTTTACTCCAGAGTGGTTTGAAACACTCAAGTAACCTCTGCTCATATAATCAAAAATAGTTTAGAGGCATCCTTTTGACTTTCAGGAAATGGATACTACCTATTCACTTCCTCTGGGCAGTTCACTGTTTTGCTTTTGACTTTAGGTGCTTCCTCAGTCAGCTAGTTAAATATTCTAGAACCTGGCTTGAAGCACCTATGTTCTGGGAATCTGGATACCTAACTTAGGGGACTAGATTATCTGATACACAGCAGGAGAAAAATATTTAAAAGGAATTATAGCTTTAACCTATTGAAATTTCTGGAATAGAGATCCAGAAAGAAGAGTGATGTCCCTAAATGCTGCTGATTGATAGTATGAACCCCGGGTCCTTAAATATCCAAGGACTAGACATTCAGATGCTCAACACATTGGCTCAATGCAAGAATGACCGCAGAGTCCATTGTGGTGCCAAATGAGTGTTAGGAAGCTAGCTCCTGGTGTGGGATTCACAATTGTTCAGCACCCTCCACGGGTGAAATTCTATCTCTCTTTCATTCCCATTCTAGCAAAGGTGACAAATTAGTAACTATTAGCTGCAGAGAAGAAGGATTTAAGATCTCTAAGAAGCAAAATCTACATTTAACTATGGCAAAGTGAGAAAAGTAAATTGAACACCACTATCATGTAATAACGTGTGGTTAAAAAGGAATAAAGATAAACTAAAAGTAGTGTCAAGATCAGAAACTCAGTCATTCCTTCTGTACTGGTAATTGTGAGACTCTTGAAAATAGATCCACCAGAAAGAAATTGTATATTATATTATACATAATAAATTGTATAAATTGAGTTGGTTTAGTCCCATCTGGTAAAAAATGTCAAAGTCTGTAAAAGTAAAATTTAATAGGCAAATGACCATTCTTTCCTAATAAGACAAATAATATGGAATGGACTGTGTATATACATTCGAACCTTCTTTCTTTTCCAAAACTGCCTACTGAGCATGAACCATGGTCTCTGCTAGCTCCCAAATCATGCCAAGCTGCTCTCTAGGAGATCAGTAATTGTCTCAGGATAAAATCTTGCAGGAGACTATTCCAACAGTTTAGTAGTATAGACATTGAGGCGCTCGTAACATTCACTGGATAATTTTCTAGTATAGACATGACCTTAGAAACTGCTAAATCTAACACTGATTTTACACTTAAAAAGAGGAAAATCCTTTTTTTAATCTAAATGAGTTTCTTTTATTATGGGATGGGCTTAAAAACATATATTTTTGAATGGAAAATCAGTATTTCTAGTTAAATTTTCCAAAACTGAACTACCCGCAGTAGTGCTGTTTGCCTATCCATTTTTCTGTTCAACCTGCCTGTCAGCTCTACTTCCTTCAAGGAAGTAAGTGAACATAGAATGCAAATCCAAAGAGCCAGACTTCATTAATATTCAAAACAATCCTTATTCCTTAAAGTCAAGCCATCATGTAAGATGTGATTCTCAAGAGCTTCATTTCAAATAATGCTAGAGGTTGATGTCAGAATTGTAATTACACAACAAGATATCATTCAAACATTGTATCTGAATTCAAGGCTGTAGTAAAAGCAATCACCCTGTAAAAATCACAGGTATCCTGACTGGAACTTGTTTTGTCTCTTACAATGCACTGCGACTCTTGGAGGTGTGTAGCATGAGGGCAAGATGCAACAGGTGCAAGTTGAAACACTGGAAATTTTTACTAGATAAAAAAAAAACAACAACCAAACCAAAAACCATTAGTTAAAAAAAAAAAACAAACCATTATAGTTGCTCACAGCGTCTGTGAAGTCTCCATCCCTGGTCTAGTCCCTGAGAGCAGCCTGCTCTAACTGGACTTGCTCTGAGGAGGAGGTTAGACTGCACTAGTGAGGTGGGGGTCGGTCTCTTCTCCCAAGTAACAAGTGATAAGGCAAGAGGTAATGGCCTCAAGCTGCACCAGGGGAAATTAAGATTGGACATTAGGAAATTTTTTTTCAGAGAGAGGGTGATCAGGCATTGGAACAGGCTGCCCAGGGAAGTGTTCAAAAAATGGTAGATG